TCTTCCTTGATGAATGTGCTAATGTACTTACTTTTTGTCCACTGAAACTGTAAGCACCCTTAATCCTGCCATCAGTCCTGGAGCTGAACTCTTGCTTCTTGCTCTGGTACTTACCCTCATTCCAGGGCACAGGACAGGGCAACAGTTTTATATTGTGTTTAAGTTGATGTTTTGCTGTAAATGTGACAGAGGTGTGCGCTTGGGAGTACTCTCTTCTCCATCCTTACTAAGAGTTTGACTTCTATTTAGGTACCAATGTTCAGCAATAACTTTGCTTATAAAATGAGTTGTTAGGTACACAAACATGTGCTCTTACCTCCACTATCAGGCTGGCTGCTTGCTAGTATGGTCCCTTGACTACATGTGTTACTTAACGATCTGTGACTGTCACCACCTTGGTCCTGGGCAGCTGTCTTCTCAGAGAGCCAACACTGAATGCCTGAGAAGGGTGGGAAAAGGAGTGGTGAAAGAGCGGAGTGGTCTCTTTCTTCCCAGCTCAGGGTTATTTGTTTGCCATGAACCTTCTCTCAATGCAGCAGACAGTTTACTAATAAACTTCGCTCCCCTCTCTGGCTGTACCAGTTTGCTAGGACACTGGAAAATACCTGACAGTGAGCAGGGAACCTGGTGGTACACGCTACTGTTTCTTCTGCCCTACCATGAGACAGCATCTTTCCACTATGAGCTGAGCTCATGGAATAGCAGAAGTGAGGAACTAGAAGACCTAGCCCCTTAGCTGTCATGAGGTGTGTCACATTCCTGATAAATTCCACACTGAAATTTAATGCAACTTTTCAGAGGATATTCTGTGGTCACGCAGACTCAGCCCTTGCTATTTTAAGGGAAACAACCTTGTCCCAACCACTTGCCACATTCAACTATCTAACTTTGTTAACTAATTAGAGGTCATTATGATGAAAAAGGTTATATGGGACAAATTTCTAGTTAGTTCATAAGATGGTCCAGCCCCATAGCTGGATTCTGGCAACATCTTTAAAGAAAGAATGTGACATTTCTGTAAATACCGAAATACTGCTCTCCTCTCTCTTCACCTTGTAAACCCTGTTTTCTATCAGCTTGTCTTTTTTGCATTGACTCTCCTCCCCTCACACTCTGTGATTAAATGTTCTCCTCCTCCTCAAACTTACTGTCTGCAGTGCCTTTCGCCTGGGCTCAGAGTCTGGACAAGAACATGCTGGAAATAAGCAGCCTTGTGCTGCTGTTCTGCAGCATACCAGCATGCAGAATTGCTGCTTTCTACTCATTTTACAGGCATGCTGTCTTGGAAGCAGCTCCTGCAACTTGTTCTGCTCAGCCACGGGTATCTGTGTAAGAGAGGGAGGAGAAGAGAAGAAAGGCTTCTAATCTGCCATACGTAGGATTCCTTTCATCCGAGGCATAGACAGTCCTCAGAATAGGTAAGTCGTCCTTCTCATGGGGATCAAAACCTCCCCATACTCCTGTACAGGCATGTCACGCCTCTGCTACAGCGGCTCTTTCCTTGCAGGAACCAGACATTTAGCAGTTGGGCCTTGCAGCACTGAACTTTTAACCCATTCACCCACAGCTGTCTGTATTTTATCAATAATTTGTTAGGAAGAAAAAAGCTGAATCTCCGGAAGCAATTTGGATCAATTGTCCAACTAATACAGCTAATTTTTGACTAATGGTCTTTTCTTAAGAGGAGTTTATAAAGTACGTACAAATTTAAGAAGAAAGAAAGAAAACCCCTGAGAAGTAAAAAGTAATTCTGTTTTCTGCAAGCACACAGTCCAGGGAGACGATACATTACAAAGGATTAATAGTACACTGAAGAAATAGTAAAGTTAATCTTTGACACAATGAACTCTAGATTTAGTATACAACTCTAGGAGACAGATGTTTCTTTTCTTAACTGTGTCCTGGGAGCCCATTTTTAGAAAACGGAACCAATCTGATTCCTCCAGGTATGTGCATCGCGTATATTCAAGATCCAGCAAATGGACATTTTCAGCCTCTGAAATATTCGGTGCTCCTTACTCACATTAAAAATTGAATGCATGAAAGCATTGGGTTCCTTTCTGCTCAGAACAAATAGCATCTTCTTGTGCATGCCTAAGTAGAAACCATCATTACAAAAAGCCAGCAGGAGGCAGCATATTAAAACATCTGTGCCATAAAAGGACATCCACAACAACAACAAAAAAACCCAAACCCCTCATCCCTTCAACCTGATATTTAGCAAACGTATTCTCCCCACCTCCCTCCTCATCATTATCCTTTATACACTGATCTCTCTTCTTCTCCACATACCTGAAATTAGTAGCAATTCCAGTGCTGTCAAACAGCTTACTGCAGGCGCACAGTTAAAATGTAAGTCAAACTGATTTCTGGAATAGCATTTAGTGGAAAAAATGAGTAAACAAAGTAGGTAGAAGTGACATGACAAAATATAAAACCTCCCAACAGACTAAACCACTTTTGCTTCCTCTGGGGTTTACCGAAACGTTCCAAACCTCTGAGTTCTCTCCTAACTATTTTTCTTTTTGTTTACAAATACACAGCAAAATGCCACCCAAAAGGAAGCACTGAAATGTTCACAAACCCAGGAATACGCTCTCGCTCCTTCGACAGGCGGTACTCCTGGGTCACTGCCACACCAACGTCGCTGCTACAGCTCTGGCTCCCAACTACGCTGCCCCTGGCACAGAACCAGAGAAATGGTCCGGCTCTGCATTTCACGACCCTTGAAAGCTGGAAGTTGTCTCCTCTCCTCCGCCCCCTCGGTCTTTCTTTTCTGCTGGTATAAAGGAGGGTTCTCAGTTGTGGCTCAGCATAGGATAAGAGAGCTTAAAATCACTAGAGACATATATGAAAGCTTTCAAACTGGTACATTATTCTAAATGCTAATCATTTACAGACTTTAATGCATTTTATGATCTGCAACGCTAGACATACAGTAACTGCTCATCCAGCATCTTCTGTTACAGGCTGAGCATATGAAACACAGTAAGGCAGCTACGGAAATGTGCAACTATCTAAAACATTTCTAAATATGGACCTACAAATACAAGATATGTGCAAAATCTATCAACAAAGTACAGCATAAACGATGTACAATCAGGTCCTCAGGAAAGGCAGTTAAGAACTAACCAAAAGACAAGTCATGAAAGCAAACACTCATGTTTTCACGCTGCAAATTCGGCTCGTAAGAAACTGCATCTGTGTCTCTGACTTCTTAATTCAAATAGACACTACGCATTTTCCAATGTAAAAATCACAATTGGGAAATTAAAACACAAGCACAATGTCAGCAGAAATCACAAATTTATTAATCCTTAAATATATCAATCATTTACCATTATGGCAAGAAATATGTACACTGTGTCCCATGGTAAACTGCAGTGTTCCAAAATGACAGAAGTGTATCATTCAATTGTGGTGGAGAGAACAAAGCACAATTTCCTCACGTCTTGGTGTGGAAGACAAACTTGGTCTACAGTAATACGTCAACACCACATGCTATGTTAGAAGTATAAAAAAAACACCCTACACCTAATTTGTTAATTTTAAATACAGTTATGCCACTTATAGCCGCTTCACAAAAAAAGTAAAGAAATTAATGAGAAAAAAAAAAATGAGGCCATTACTTTTTTCACAGATCCCATTGGCAGGTTAATATGGCTCAACACATTTATTGTAGATGCTTATTTTAAATATATATAGTTTAAAATCATGTAGTAATTATCAGAGAAGCTTAAATCCATCTACCATACATCCACTAGTAACAACATCAAAATGTTTAAGAACTGCTTTTGATTAGTAATCAACACAGAAAGGTGAAATGATACAAATTAGGGAAGCTTTCCCATTTTAAAAACTTCAGGCTGCCGAGTTGTAAATTTTTAACCGCTAAAAAGGACATTGAGATATCATGCACTATACAGCGCTGCAGAAAACAGTTAGCCCTGTTGGTAACAGAACAATTAACAAATGAAAAAAACCCAAAAAAACGATCCCTGTATTTTTCTGTTAAAAATGGAAGGGAATAAACCTAAATGCTTGCAAGGATGTATCTTCACAGCAACATAAGGGAAGCAAAAATAGTCCCTGTTACAAAGTTTGTGTTCTGAACTGACACTGAGAGCATCCCCCACGCAGCGTACAGGCGTTCGCAGCAACGGATCAAGGGCCAAACCAAGTTGGTAATGCTGCAAAGACTGCTGTCCTTGATACTGTACGCTGCGTGAGGATTTTAAGAAACCAAGAGCAGATTGAGGGGAAAGAAGGGGGAGAAACAAATCTGTGGTAAAATGTTAGCATCTTATTAGAAAACTGGTGTATCCATAATACATTTCCAGAGGAGCAACAGCAGCAGTGCAAAGTAAGTAAACTCTTCATACTAAGCTTTTAAGGCCTAATGTTTCTTGAGTATATTAACCACACAACTGGTCTATAGCTTAACCAAAATTTTATATTTTTTAAAGTCTCCTTAAAAAATTTACAGTACACTCTAAATGCGATAAAAATCTATCTTTCTCTCTTCTTCCATTTTAATCCTCAAAAACTGCCCCTCAATCATCACTTAGTTCCTTACAACTTTTAGTTTTGCTCAATCATCCAACAGAAATTTTCAATTAGCATAATAAGAAAGCAAAGGTAAAGACTCAAAAGAGAAAAAGAAGCTGCTGGCTCACCAGAACACTGACAGTTAATTCTGAAGTGACCAAGCCAGTAAATGATGAGATTTTTCCAGTTTACACAGACTAATAAACTACGAATGCTTCAGCTGGTACAAAGCCAAGATATTATCACTTCCACATTTATCAGTGATTTCGTCCATCTACATGCTGTAATAAAAATCTGTTTTACAGTAACGGAGCTGCCAGCAGAAATCCTGACCATTCCTACCAGAACCAAAGCAAAATCCTGGGACTCAGGGAACAAGGAGGAGTCAAAAACCAGTTCTTAAAAAAAGAGGGTAAAATGTACTTTTTCTTTTTTTTTCTTTTTTTTTTTTAATAAACAGGATAGTTTTTAAAGTTGTCTGTCAAAACTTGGCATAAATGGAGAAAGTGACAAATGTATTCTGTATCTACTGCTGTCCATCAACTTTTTTTTTTTGTCTTTTATGCCTTGTTATTCTCTATTTGCATGGAACATCACCTTCATCGAAATGTTAACAGTGTACAGATGGAATATACAGCAACATGGTGCATCACAAATGTGTTACATGAAGAACCTTCACAACTTCATGCACTCAGAAACATGCATGAAGAGAACGGGATGGCGAAGATGGTAATCAACCAGGTGCGTTGGGTACAGAAAATGCAAGAGCGGCACCGCTGATATTTTTAGCTAGGAGGAAGGAGAAAAAAAAACAAAACAGATTGCCATTACTGAAATAACATCACCACCAGATAACAATACATGCTCAAGTGTTAGCCAGTACTATTAAAAAAAACGTCTTCTCAAGATCATTTAACACAATATCGTGAAGAAAACCAAGGGGAAAAAAAAAACCCTGAACGCTCAGGCAAAGCATTCTTTTATTTTCCAAACCACTTTACAGACATTTTCCATCTTTACAACATGCCAGAGAGGCTGTTAAAATAAAAAAGGAAACTGAGGCAGGAAGCCAAAGTGCCTTAACCAATTTCTTAAAGGAGCGAGGGCAGAATTCAGATGTGAATCTCTGAGTTTAACTTACTTCTTCAGCATGTACATTACAGACACTGCCACAGACTGAGATTCTCATACAAAAATTGAACCAAGTAACAAGGAAGAATCAGATATCATTTACATGCAAGACATGCTAGAGCCGTATGCAAAGAGAAACGAAAGAAAAGTAATGTGTAAGCAAGTAGTTAACTAAATCAGCTTATAATATCATTTGTATTACCGTAGCATCTAGGGGCCGAAGTCATGATTGGGATCCCGCTGTGCTAGGCACTGTACAAACACAGAACAAAGTCTTTACTAAGTCTTCCTGCTGTTTGGTATTTAACTAATGAAAGTATAAGAAGGTGCAAGGTGTGATAAGTGAGGCAATATAAGCCTAGGAGCCTCGGGTCTGAATTTAGGTTTGGGAGTCAGTTTAAGGTCCAATAGCCCTTTGACTGCCTGTATCATGCAGGTCCACTCTCTGTGTGTATGCAGAGACAGTTCTGCAGAAACACATCAGCACAAGTTCTTAAGAACCAAGAATACAAAGAAAAATTTCCTACCATCAGTCATATTACCCAGAGAGAAACAATGGATAAGACAGAAACCAAAGTTTGTCTTATCTGACTCACAGCAAAAACTACAAATAAAATTTACTTATAAACTAAATATACTTTTGTGCTCATATTCTTTTCCAAATAAATTATCTGCCGTAAGGAAGCATTTCCATATATCTATAGCTCCCAAAGAGCTCAGTTCTGTCCTTAGATGTATGCACACTCCTTACTGTAGTCCTGAAAACAAATAAGCTACTGTGCTTGCAGCAACTGATTTGACATAATCTAGGATACTATGTTTGCAAAAGCAGGTCACAGCTATAATTGCTTTTGCAAGTTTATTGGATTTGAAATTCCTCTTCAGACATTATGTGTAAGATATTTTTTTATTATGAAAGTGCCATTATTAACTACTATGTATTGGTAATAATTAAATAAATAGCTGTAAACTGTATAAATTTTGAATACGAGAAAAGAAAGGAAGGATAATCTAGAATAATACTTTAATTAAATTTGTAGTTTTCCAAATCTGTAGGTTTTCAAAATGGAGTTATCGGTACACTGCCGCTCTGACCGGGAAAAGTGAAGGTGAAGTTCAAGGCAGTCTAAAAGACAGTCAGGAAGGGTTACAGCAGGCGAGTTCTAGCGTGGCGCTACATGGGAATCTACCAGTTAAACTTGAGAAGATGGGGATTAAAGAAAGAATATGTAAAATAACTAGAAGAAAAACAATAATGCTTGGGCTGAATGGGGAACTATCAGCCTAGAGGAGACTCACTAGTCTTTGCCAATGACCTGAGCACAGGCAGTAGGAATGATCTCATGTAGTATACTTACACTTAGGTGGAAGGCACTATAAATACAAAGGAAAACAGGAGTATTGTGCAACAAGAACCAATTAATCTTGAGGGCTGGGTAATCCAGAAATGTTACATGTAATAGTAGGGAGTACAAAGCTGCATGCTCAGCAAAGGTGTCTATATACTCATTGCTTGGAAATGACAGCTGAGGATAAATACATGGCTGTCTTAAATGATCTACTGATGTGACGTAGATGACAAAAGTGCAAAAATCATGCCAGAACACAGCAGGTGTGGCATTCTCAACAGGGAAAAGAAAGGCATTGCGAAGTTAAATAAAGCCCTGACCACAATTGTATACGGTATTTCAGAAGCACCTAAGCTAATGAAAAGACAAACCTCAAACCAAAAAAGACAGTGAAGAGCTATTAAGGTAGCCAGGAAAGTAGAGATCCTATCCAAAAAAGCCAACCAAGTTAGCATTGTTTATTTACCCTACAAAAATAGAAAGTGGGAAGTGACCTAATCAGCCTTCATATAAAACAGCTCATGTCTCCGTATCTATGCCCATTTTAGGAGGACAACGATGAAATAAGAATAATCAAGGATACATTGAACATGACTAAAATTTCGACTGGAAAGTAAGGTTTCTAACCATCAGACCAATGATATTTTAGAACAGTGATACGAGCAAGTCCAAAAAACCCCCTCTGAATTCAAGATGAGGGTTAGGTAAGGGATTTATGTGATATTGTTGCTGTCGCTACATAGGGGCTACATATCTAGGGCTACGTTGCAATCTCAGAGCATCTCTCCTTAAGCCTTAGCCATGCTACTGCTCTTCTGTGACCTCTTCAGGTTGGATACCCTCTCACAATCCTGAGATCTCCTCTGTCTGACCCCACAGGCTCAGAACACCCACTGACATAGACAAAACCCTGCAGCCTCAGAAAAACTACCTCTCGGCTTCTTCTCCTTCCATCCTTAGCAGTGCCAGAAATCCTTACCTTTCTTAGAGAGCACCAGCAGCTGTAAAGCACTGACATTACACAAGTCCTAAATACTGACACTGCTTCTGAGGGGCAAATCTCAGATCTGTATGTACACCTGCATTCCCTTCAGAGGTGCGGTCTGAACGGTCAGGAGTTGCTCTGTGGCAGCTAGTGCAGGCCCCTTATATTCCAGAGAAACTACCTCTGGCGAGTGTTTGTAGGAGCAGTACGTGTCACAGCACACAGCAGCCCATCACGCATGTACACGTTACGTGAACTAAGTGCTGAGGCTCCCGTTACAACACTGTACCTCAAAAAGAAGCAGCTGTAGAAGCTATTTAGTATCTCTCTCTAACGTATTACCAAAATCATTATTACAGGAATTATTGGGCAAATTCTGTAATCTTTCATGAAAATAGTAGTAAGACGGTTATTTTGTTGCCTTTTGGTTTTGGTGTCTGAGTGTCATAAATTACCTTTTCTCTTTAGGATTGCTTCCTATAAATATGGTTAAGTAAAAAAAAGTTTGACACACTCCCCCCACCCCCAATCCTTCTCAAAAAAATGGAGGGAAAAAAAAAAAACCAAAGGAAAAGATGAAATAATTCTTTAGTCCCATTCATGTCATTCTGCTATAAACACTTACTGTCCAGGGTGCACTGGGACAGGTGAGCCTGTGTCACTTATGCTTTCTGGCCCTACACATCCCTTGACAAAACACTCCTGTATGAAAACATCAAAAATCCACATAACTCTGCATTTCAAGAAAATGTAACTACTCTTTCAATATTATCTGTTTAAACACTGGCTGTGCAGCTGGAATGTGAAAAAAAAAAGGATGACATGGTTCCTGCTCCCACTGGATTCACATTTTTAAATAAAATATAATAGTTATCCCTAAGTAATCAAATTACTTTTTTCCTAAATTAAAAAAAAAAAAAATTAATCCCCACTAAAGTTTAACACTTCATTCTATCATATTCCTTACTTTATCAAGTATTATTTCATATGGGAGAACAGTGTTGCAAGAAGTAAAATATGGGACATGATGAACTTCGAGGGATGAAATCTAAGCTCTTAACATCCACTCCAGGAAATTCAGCCACTATCCACATTAAGACACCTCACACAAATGTAATTATATCCTACACAAAGTGCTTGCACCCGAGGAAATCAAGGCCTATACCAGTGCTGCCTAATTTTGAAACAGCCTAACCTAAGCCAGAAGTCAGCGAGGTTGGGCTCTGAGGGACACAGCAGCATTAGCGAAGGCTGCAAGCAGAAGAAAAGCAAAGGACTTGAGCAGAACCTCTGAAGAAGCCGTGACTCACTATCTTCTTATGGCAATGATGAGTGTGCTGTCATTTACGCTGCTGAAGATCTGGCTTAAGGAATTCAGGTCTGCACGCGTTGAGTCATGGCATGACTCTGAGGGTATGACAGGGCATGCAGAGATGTCCAAATGAACAACAGAGAAAAATGGTAACGGGAGAGATCTGAGGCTTACCCGCATAGATGTCACAACTATCAGACAGTGACTATTCAGCAGTTAAGCAAAGAGAGTATGGGAGAAGAGTTAAGAATGTGATAGGTACTTGTATGACTTAATTTACAAACTAAATATGTAAACTGGCTCAAAATCAACTTGCAGCGAATATAACTAGGCCTGAGTAAGTAGAGGTGGCTGGAAATCACAACAAGTATTAGTCAAACTTCTGTTTTTCAGAACATTAATACTTTTTTCCTTGAAACTTTCCAGTCAGCTCTAACAGTTCCGTGTATCCTATCACTTTTCATTTTTTTCAGGTTTTCCTGGAATTCTACTTCAGGTTTTCCAATCCTATTTTGTGTTACTTGTATCAAGCCTTATCTGCAATAAAACACTCTTCTGCTCTTCAGGCTGTCAGTTCAGGGACTGAGTTGGATCAGTGGGCATCACAGTTGGGAACAACAACAAAAAAAGCATTATTTTAAAAATATTTGCACCAATACTATATGCACACTACTGAATATAATACACACTTCATAAATGACCACAAGAAATTATACTATCAAGAGGACGGTTTCATAGTTTTTAAGGCCAAAAGCAGCTGTTAGACTATCTGGTCTGACCTACATAGTTTAAACTTGTGGTCTGAATGGTTCCTTACTTGATAGGTACTGTTGGTGACCCTGAACGGTGAAAATGAACATTCTGCCATTTCCCATCACGACGGTGCCAGACCCGCGTTTCCTCTGACTGCATAGTCTTTGGCATCCCACTTCCATCCATGTACTGTGTGAGCCGTATATATGCAATGCAAGCAGCATCGTCTCCCACAAGGTGGACATGAGGATTGAGGATAATGGTGTGGATTGGCTTATTACTTTTGGATAAAGCTAGGAAACAAACACACACACACAGAGGATAAATGAAATTTTCTGTACGTAAGCCAAAATAACTCCTCTCACCCCACTTGATGAAATGAAAATCTCAAGCTTAGCAGATACAAGGTGGTAATTATTGTTTACTGATAATCACGACTGAGAACTAGCTCAAGTACATTGTAGAAATGAGCACAGTCATAGCATAATGTATGTCTTCCCCTTTCCTATAAGGAAACCAATCAAATGTTTAATAGTCCATATTATTTGTTCCATGTATATACATGGATTAAAGAAAGTGGGGGCCACCATCTTGAGTTTCCTAATTGAGTTTCCCCAACACTTCAGTTTCACTGCTGTGTCTAATGGCATTGGTACTTAATATTTTCAGTTAGAATAATCCAGCTTTTAACTCATTAAGTGCTATTTTAACTTTTAAGTGCTCATATCTATGAAAACTAAAGGAAACATTTTAAGGAAAAACATAGAAAATGCTGTTTTGGAGATGGAAGGGAATTTAGAATATAATAATCCCATTTTACACTCAGACATTTCTCACAAATTACTGGATAAGATCATACCTTCCTTTACAATATTTTATTTCCTTTTGAGTCAAGTCTGCTCTAAAATGGATACCTATATTACATGATCCTCCAAAACGTTATTAAATCCACTCTATGGGTAATTTTTCTCTCTTATAGCTGACGTGACTGTAATATATATATTATATATACTGATATTTTCAAACATATACACTCCCCCCAATATAAAAAAGACAGCTGATCAGGTCCTTAGCAGTGTGCAGTGAGTGACTACAATGTCTTCCCCAACACACCACATACTCATTGGAAGTGCTGCTAGTTGCAATCACTGTAATCACACGATTTAGTGACCTTTCTTTTAAGTATACTCACAGCAAGATTTTCGCTTTTCCCCAATGGAAAAAACAAGTATGAGACTTACTCATCTATGGTGTGTTTTTTCTTTTATACATCTTGACTTTCTCTTTCTAAATACCTGAAACTTTCCTCTGCTATCCAAGGTGCCCTGTGATGTGTGACTGAGTGCAGCAGAAACACAGAAAACCACATATAGCAGAACTCTGAAAAAAAAAAATATTCCCTTCCCCTGCCCAAATCAATTAACTCCCAAACCAAAACACTAATTAGACCAGAGAAACACAATCACAAGGAACAGATGAAGATTCACAGAGATGAGAAAGGAATGTTTACCATTTTCAAAGTAAAACCGATGAAAGTCCATCCCTTCTACTAGATTACCCAAAGCTTCAGGTTCAAAAGATGTAAGGCCTGGATCACAGATTTTTCTGTGGAAAAGAGGAAATTCCATAATAAACACATGCAGTTATGTAACACAACTTTGGAGAGATTACTTTGTAAATGTTTCCTTCATTCCCATCAGACATGTTACCTACCTGTGCCATCACACTGGAAAAGAACAGAATTAAATGGGGGAAAGTAATGGAGTTCTGATTTCACCTAGATTAGTAAATTTGGCAGCTTAATTTAGGTGGACTGGATTTCATATAAATCATCTTTTGACCAAAAAAAAGGCTGCCAAAGAAGGCCCCACAAGTCAATGGTATTACAAGTAGGGATTTTTACTTGTGACTCTGAAAACTGGTTCTGTGCAATTCAGAGGATATTATTTATGTCTCACATCATTATGTAAGCAAGATTTTTTTTTAACTGACAAAATTTAGACAAGAATTTGGAATAAGTTTCCACTTGACATTTGTACAACAAAGGTTTTAATGTGATCATACCAAACTAAAGTTTAGTGCTGCCAAGTCTTTAAACAGGGTGAGCAGTGTCACTGTTGAACTGTGAGGCTCATGCTGCAACAGGACAGAATCCACTCAGAGAAACACAAGAGACCAAAAGAAATGCTGAGAAGGGTCTTTTTTTTTTTTTTTTTCCTTTTTTTAGGTAGGAAAAGAAAAGAGGAGAAGCAGTGACAGAATTGTGTCTTTGCAGAGAAAAGCTGAGAGAGAAATTGATCCGCTTTCCCCCAGCAAAATCTTGCACAGTGCTCAGTAGAGGCTGGTTGAACCTAAACTCCACATGGTCTTTCACGCTCTGAAGTACAAATGAGATTCCAGCCAGTATCAATCTCTACATACAATCAAATTTTTCTGCTGAAAGAGGCTTCTACTGTTTTCTTGATTCTATATCACAAATATGACTTTACTTTTCGTACGACAAGAGAGATCGCTGCATATTTTGCATCAGGATTATGCTCCTGTCTCAGCAGAGTAGTACATTGGACTTACACTAGCAGCTCCTCTGAAATTGGCAACCAGGCTCGTGTAAAGCCAGGGCAAAGCAGCAATGAGGATATGTGGTGTTTCTTGGGGGCATCTGAGGATAAACTTCAATAATACACGAATACAAACACACACGCTTCTATATAAATATGCATATTTACATTTACAGTGTCAAATACATCAACTCTCCTCACTCACTCTTAAATGAGAAAACTTACGTGTAAGCTTCAAAGTCTCCATTGTTGATAGCTTCAATCAACTGCTCAGTAACCTTGATAATCTCCTGCTTACGAGCTAGAGAAAGATACAAATACTACTCTTAAAATGGAAGGCAAAATGGAAGGTGACAGCTGAAAGGCTGTCAGAAGAACAGCAGTAACAAAGGTATTCTGTCATTCCTCAGCTGGTGCAACAGCCATTTCTCTTCCTTTTCTATGACCAAAGGACATGTTATATTGCTGCTTGACACTGTTTTGGCTTCAGTGTACTCCTGGATTCATGAGGAAATTAAACACATGTCAAGATCAATCCACTTTCCTATCAAGCTTCTAATCATCTTTCCTTCACTGAAGGATCTGCTGTTCAAAAAGGTAAACAAAACCGAACACAAACCCAAACCCCAACTCTTAACTTCAAATTAAAGACAACTGATTATTGTTTTACAAGCAACACTAATGTTTCATATACACATGGGGCCTTTACCTTTCAAGTGACTAATGCTGATTTTCAGGAATCTTTGTAACACTTAGTGTTCGCTTTGGCCAAATGTGTGCATTTAAGCAAAGAGGAATTTAGGCCTTAAGCCTATAATCAAGATCCTCTGGTGCAAAGCTTGCGGATTACACACAATGCACGCACATCCACACAGGTCTAATCACCACACGGTGTCTTTCAGCTCTGACTTCTGTGATTGTGCCTATCCTTTGCTTGTAAAATGCCGAACGCATCTACATTACAATAAATCTCAATTAGATCATTTGTCAATATTATGCTACATCTACTAACTAATAATAATAAATGCTAAATAGTAACAGAAGAGTCATACATTAAAAACAGCACGCAGAATATGCATTTCTAGTAAGAATATTCAAACTCAAGCAGTGTTTGCATATGCTTCAAAGGCAAAAGTATGTGGAACAGTTTCTCCTTTATCTATCAGTCAAGAAATAAGCTCAAAGTTCAGTATTTGTTAAAGTTGGTAGGAGTTACACTAAAACAATGCAGAGTAAACAAAGTCCTGCACAGTGGTGTGGTTATTTCTAACATGAGTTACTCTAGGAGGGCGAAGTTTAAGAGACTTTATCAAGATGGAAAATCATAAGGACTTTACTTTGAAAACTGACTTCTACTTTAAAAAAATTTTTTTGAGGAACAGACGTTTATATTTTTGCCCTGTGCATTTATCATTTGGTAAAGTTCAACCTTACGCCGATGAAGTTCAACCAGTGGCACTGCTCTCAAATACAGACTTTTGTGAATTTAATGCTAAATGGGTAAGAGATAGATATTTTACCGTTACATTTGCAAGGATTTAACTTACATCCAACTCCTTATTAAACCTCAGAAAATCAATGTGGAAGACCGAGCTTGAAATAAAAATAAATGCAAGCAGCCAGGCTGTAGTAGCTCTCTTGTACAAGCAAGAGGTTTAATTCCCCTGCACACTCCTACACGTGGACTAGACTATTAACACACGCATGCACGCAAATATGCTTGGAATGTTAAAACCAAAGTACTAAGAGAGCTCACATTCTTCAAAAAGAAAATGTTGGAGGCCATAGGCAGAATGCAAGTTTCCAATGCTGTACTGCAAGAACTGGCATCGTGGTGTTAAAGAACCTTTTCATTTCTTTTATGCTCCACCATCCCTTTTACTAAGTGCACAGCTAATATACTCAGATAAAAAGCACCAACAAGAAACCAGCAAGGAAAGATTGATGGAGAAAAAAGTGGATATAAAGGTCAAGCAAGGTTTTTTGTGAGTAGCTCCTGACTACTAGATAGCATGATGGGTAAGAATATTTCAAGTACGAATTGCCTTATTTTTCCACAAAGATTGTGGAAAGAACAAAGATTTTTAATGAAGAGATGTTTTGACTGCAGATCAACAATGGCTCCATTGTCGTATGTTTAAACGACACAGACCAAACTGAGGACCTTGCACGGCATTGTCAGCACAAGCCAAGTGGTAGGATGGCTGAGTAAGAAATTATGGTGCAGTGATAGAAAAGGTTGGCAAAAAGAAATCCAGAATATGCACACTTCATGCAGTGAGGAAATCACAAGTTTTGCACGCAACGTCTCATATACATATAACTAAACTAAAGGATTTGATTAAATAATCTGGTAAGCCGTTCCAATCAAAGACTAGGAAATTACAGACTATTAAATCAGATGGTGGGAAATGAGGTAAAAATCTCTGATGAGCTGCTACAAAATCATGAGATCATGCTATTGAGTAACAATGTAAGTAATGAAAATGTCTGCAAAGTTACTGTAGTTTCCACATGCAAGAGACAAAACCACATGGACATGTAATTTTACTTTCACTTGGCTAGAGACAATGGGCAATATTCCCCTTTTTCACTAATATCTGTCATTTCTGTTTCTCAAGCTTTATCATGATAAGCCCACAGTTAACTTACATGTTATACAGATTCTGACAGGGAACAGCAAACGACAGTGAATACCTGAATATATTCTATTATACAACATTCTGTGATCCAGACCCAGAGGCTTATGAAGGTGTTTTGGTTTTGTTTTAAATGAATGGTGTGCAACAGCTCAATGAAGTTGGATGGTAACCTGACTCACTGGCACCTGTTCGTGCCTTCAACAGTAAGAGTTAAAGGAATGTGAATGACAAAGGTTTCTATCTTTGAGATTTTGAGACTTCATTCCAATCTGAATAAGAACAGAATTTTTTGCTAACATACATTTAAAAAAAATTGTTTGGGGTTAATCAAAATGTTGCACTTCAATCATACCTTTGATGTTGTACTACATTACAAGCTATAATTCAACGTCAACCCCAGAAGGGAGAAACTGAATCATCTTGCCAAATTGCTCTTTTTCCTGTTTTTTCTTCCAAAACAAAATTGCAGTGAAACATGTATTTTCATGAAGCTTTCTGATAGGAGCCACTTAATATTACAGAACATGGTTCCAGCGAAGTTTCTCTGGGCAGTACTAACATCTAGCAGAGCTGTGTCTGCTGACCTGGAATATAAAACACATCCATCAGGAAGCTCTACAGGCCAGCAAAGTAAGTAAAGGAGATTAAGGCAGTATCACTGGCTCAAATCAATCACTGTCCAACTCCAGCACTAGCGTCAGTTCTTCCAGTACTTGTGGAGAGACTTTGCAGTTCACAATGCAGGCCGTCGGGAACAGAAAGATGTTGCCAAATCATCTGCCTTCCAAGTCATTTCTTAATTTTTCTACAAAATTACAAGCACCATGTGAAACTGTGTATGAAAGCAACCACACTACTCTTCCCTTTCAGCAACACACAAATAATTACATGCTTATTAGAAAATCAGATTTCTTCCTATTTAGTGATCTGATATGCAATCTCACTGGCAGAAAGCGACTGAGAGAGCGAGCGTAATTTAGAAGCTGGAGTTCCAGAAATTACTTATCCTGTGTGCAAAGGTCCTGCCTCATTCTCAGCCGTTTCTCATTTGAAAGCAAGAGAAAGCATTAAAAGAAAAAGATGGTCAAGAACAAGGCAGTATGAAATATTCAGTAACATCTGATATCAAAGAATAATTAAAATAATTAAAAAATAGCCACTGTGATTTTACACAAATCTCCTACTGATTGTTTTTGGGGATCTTTTTTATCTCAGCATTTTATACTTTCTGTGTAGGTATGCGTATGGGTGCACAGAGACAGAGTACAAGTACAGACCAAAAGTATTTCAGCCTATAAATACATAGTCTAGGAAGCAGAGGTTTAGCCTGGGAGGAAGGAAGAGAAAGGAGACAGGGAAGAACTGGGATACCAAAAGTAGAACATTGGAAGGAGACTGGAAAGCAGCAAGAAGGAAAATGCAGCCATGAGTTGGTGGCCATGCGAATCAAGTCAAATACTTGCGCTTTTCCTTGGCGCAAAGGAAGAAATAGGGAGGTCACTGAAGATGAGCTAAGGTGAAATGGATATTGGTAGGAACAAGGTCTTGCTATTGCAGACAACATCTGACAGAAATAATTGATGTTTATTAAAGTGGTAAGAAAATTACCAAATTTTCATTATAAATTTGATGGACTCCACGTAACATATGCTCTTCCAAACCTGCAATTTCTTTTTCCATCTAAATACACTTTATAAACCACACAAGGACAACAAGCGAATACATGAGGCATTAGGGAAGAGGCATCTGGCCAGTTCCCATCTGCCAGATAACTGTCACTTACAATCACCATTTTCATTCGATTTTTTTTTTTTTTTAATCCAATAGAAAACTTTGCTTGTATTGAATTCTAGCAGAATTATGATGTTTGATGTAGAGGAGCAATTTTATGCTATTATACTTTTTATTTGATGTGCAGTAAGAACTTCCTGAATAACGTACTTGAGCTTTGGTAAAAGCCGGCCAGAAATCTGTACGCTCTCTCTCAGCGTGATGCAAGGCTCAGACTGAACCAAAGTGCGCAGTTTCTTTGCCATTATAAGCTACATGCATTACGGCTGTCGTCTTCTCTCCCTTTAAAATATCATCATGTGTTCAGAGTGCAAGGACTATGGCATGTACGTCTTATCGCATGTAAGAGTTTTTCTGATAAATGAGAAAAATAAGATACTGCAGGAAAACTCAAAAATTGTAATGGAATTCTGATAAAACTGGTTCAGCTACTTTTTCCAAGAGCTGTGGTAAGAGCCAATTGAAAAATTAAAGCCTGACCCATCTACACCGTCTTAGAATATGGCAATGGCTTTCTATGGCATAAAAATTACATAATCTCTGTAAGCAAAGGATTACTTCGCAAAAATACATTTGGTGTTTTTAAAACAACTGAGGTGTGAGGGAAGAATATTGTTAAAAGAAGTCGAAGGTGCTGAGCCACTTTACTGGAAAACTAATAATGAAAAAGACTGCAGATAGTATAGCTGGAAGCTACCATAAAACGGCAAACTTGTGTGGAAAAGACGGTAGCTTTTACATTCTCTGCTCAGAATATGGGTGAAGTAAATACATTAAAGAAAAGAACACAGACCTACTCTCTAAATACAACCTTCACCCCTGTAGACTCAGTGAGTTAAGGTAATAAGAACTAGCAGTTCAAAAAAAT